GACATAGAATACATCCTATGTGACGATATCTTTGCTCCAGGACCACATGAAGTAGCTTGTTCTGGGTCTACCGATTTGGGTCGCCCAAAAACAAGCAACCCTAAGCTATTTTTGACAATGGAAATGGACAAAGTACCACTTCTAAAATCATTGGCACCTATAACATCCTCGTCCCAATACCAGATGAATAATTTTCTAGATCTTCAAAAACCAAATGAGGACGATGATATTGAAATGGCAGAGATTATAGAAAATATTCTTTCAGACGACATTATAGACATCAACCCGGAAAAATTAAATCCGTTAAGTTCTGGTGGCAAACACCAAATCGCAAACCGAGTAGGTGTGTGTGAAACGAGCTCGTCGACGCCTAATTCCTTGAAAAGCTTTAGAAAGAAGACATCTGATGCAAAAGCAAAGAATATTGCGATTCCACAGAGAATCTCTGGCAAAACGGACTCACGAGTTTCAAAAGTTTCTAGTAATCCAGTTTCGCAAGTGCTAAGAGATTTCTCAGCACGCACTGGAACAAACCTCAAGACAAGTTTCCTTCCGGCTTTAGACATTACGGCCGGGACAAAATCCTCTACTTTTGGCCTAAAGGCTCGACCAAAAACTAGAAATCCGAGACGTTCATTAGCTGACGATGTTAACAAAAGCCAAAGTTATTCGCTGGACGCTAATCTTCCTGGCGCATTTCCAAATCAAAAACAGGATTTGCACACTCTCAAACCAAGACAGGCAAAGTGCATGGTAATCGAAGATGGTCTGTTAGAGGAGACAACGAATCGACCAAACCGATCATGTTCCTACACAGCTTTAGGTGCTGAGAACAACTATACCACCAGGAAATCCGATTTGGCGAGGGATCTAGAAGACTTTGATTCAACTATAAAAACCGTCGTAAAATCTTTTACTGGGTCACCTTCCCCGCAAGATTCATTTAAAGGGGATAAACTACAAAAGGGCGTCACTTTGGCAAAACAGGAGAACAATAAGTGTCAAAGAGATGCTGCAACAATATGTTCTCCTCAGTCCTCTTTTGTTTCTAGGAAAACAGAAGAAATTGCCATGGAGGAAGCCATTAAGGAGATTTTAGGTATTTCAGCCATTGACTTACGTATGTCTTTGCAAAAAGGTCCTGTGGTTTCTCGGAAAAATGCAGAAAAGAAAAGTGCTAATCACGCAGAAGAAATTGACTTGGATGAGGCTATCAGGGAGATCTTGGACATTCAACGGACTGATTTGGATGCGCCAATGAAAAACCATATTGAAAACAATAAGAATCTAACAAAAAGTTACTCGTCGAGTCAACCCATCAGAGCAGTGAAAATTGACTCGGAAGAGGCTATCTTTGAAGTTTTTGGAACTGAAACAAAGGATTTAAGAGGCAGAAATGAAAAACCAGCAGCGAAACCGAGTTGTATGATAAATGAGACAAAGAACTTTGAGTCCACAACTGTCGAGTCACGCGATGTGAGGGAGCCTACTGCGCAGGCTCTTTCATTGATAAATGACTCTGCTTTTAATTTTCCAGATGCTAAGATGAGTTTTGCGAACAATGGCTCGGAGAACTACGACAGTGTATATTCTTTGGCAAATGGAGATGCATTAAGACCTGTGACAGCTGCAGGGTCAGCTGTGAGTCCTCTTCAATCAACTTTATCTGACAAAGCAATACAAAAGCTGATCTTTTCCCTTTGGGAAACAAGAACGATGTCTGATCTCTCAGTTAATGAAAAGAACACCACGCCACTGACAAAAGAAATACAGCAACAAAGCGTGGCTATGCAGAGAGCAACTGTTGTTCCCGTAGCCTGTGAAAGCAGCCATAGAGCCACTGATTTTGGAGTGCTTTATAACTCAGAAGAATTGGACTTGATTAAGGACATCGAACAACAGCCTTGACATTGGCTAAACGTTTGATAGCAGAAAGAAAAGCAAACGAAGTTTGTAATATTGCTCACAGTCTGCTGAATTGCAAGGGATTAAAATATTCGCTATTTTTTTAGGCGTTAAGATTTGGATCATTCCTATTTTTAGAAGCAGAGAACAGATCGAATCAAGACAAGAGCAAATATTCTCCTTTTTATAATTAGAATTTCACCACATGAAAGGAGTATAGCGTGAAAAGGTTTTTGAAAGTTTAGGGAAAAAGCTTAGTGAACAGCACCAATGAAATTAAATCCGCGAAAACAGTCACAGCATGCAATTTTATTAATATCAACTAAAATATGGAGCTGCAGTGATTTATTTAAATAACAGTTTTCCTTACCCGAAACCGTATCTTTACACTTTTCTTGCAGTTATTCGAGATAATTTCCAATGCTTACATAAAATGGTGCAGCTAGTAAAGAACTGAAAAACGAGCGCAATGAATAAAACTGCTTTTAATTTATGGTAAAAAATTGCTTATAATCATGGCAACCTGGCGGACGTTATTTCATGAGTTATTTCTCTCCAAACTGTAAAATTTATGAATTTCTTCATATCTTCTCCTTTCATTTCGTATATAGGTTATTTAAAAACCCACACTTTAGTTTCCGCATCTTTTCATCGCCTTTTGCTCGTGGACAGATTGGTTACTCCGGCTTCGGCGAAAGATATTTCCTCATCAACTTGCGTTGTAGTTGTTTCACTGAAAAAAGAAAGAGACAGAGAATTAAAACCAGCAAATGAGAGATCTATGTGCATTTCCTCGATGTCTTATTTCAGCTTTCAATATAATGTATATCAGCTCTTACGACTTAACAGCGCAATATATGCCTTAATATAGCTGCTACCCAAGATTAAATGTTTCTGTTATATTTTGACTTGTTGACTGACTAACTTTCATCCAATCACATAGCAGCATGTTCCCGGACCTGAGAGGGCTCTTAACTTTAAAGATGCAATATTATCACATTTCACAGCCCTTTAAGCCATCATTATTATTTTAAAGATACTTTTAATTCTCGATATTAAAAGTGCTTTACACGGTACACCTCACGGATCATTTTCAGCGGAGAGCCAATACGGAAGGAAAATCTGAGTGAGTGGGTGTAGGTAATCAACGAGGCCAGTGAACAGCCCTATGTTGTAAACAAAATGGTTCTTTGTAGCTGTGGTATTTTATTCAAGGTGTTATTTTATAGTCACGGTTTTTTTCTTCTGCTTATTATTTTGGTGTCTCTACGAGTACAACCCAAGTCTGAAAACATTCAAATCAAAGCTACTTAGCATAACTTGATTACACTTTTGTTTGTCAGTGTTTCAATGGATGGTTCCGATTTCTAGCTTTGGGTGATTATTTTATCATGATAGCCACTGCGAAAAACTTTGATGCGTCCTATGTCTGTGTTTTAACGAAGCAAGTTCAGGTTATTTTATGCAGTTTATTGCGAGGGGAAATCCAGTCACCTTAAACGTTAAGGGAACTGCGATAAAATAATTGGTTTATTAAGCGGAAAAGTATTAAAATAGTGCATGGAGGGGGGTAAACAAATAAAGCGAAGTGGCACGGATGACAGGATTGAATTCGACTGGAATAAATTGAAAAACGTTCTGTACACGAAACTTTTCGAGTGACCGTTTGATTTTGAAAGCCACCGAGCCGGTGGCTTAACGAAGTAAATGTACAGACAAATTTTGTGGCATGAGTATCCTAGAAAAGAATACTTTCCCAAAGTAATTTCCCTAATAATAAAGTGTTTCTGTTTTTGTTTCCATGGATACTGAAACTGTTGTCTCATCCCCTCACTGAACGATTAAAAAATGTTCAATAATATTAGTTGCCCGGGGTTGGTAAAATCCGTAAAAAATTGAATTTCTTCTTTGTATTTTTATTTCGTCTATGAATGAAATCTCTCAATTAATATTTGTCATTCACCAGCTTTCATTTTTCTTTCCCTTAAATTGAATTTCGCACACCTTCGTTCAATACAACAGGCAATATCTCATGAAGTTTCTCTTAAGTATTTTTTTGACCAAATGGTCAAGCACAATGGCTTATTGAAGACAATAAAGGTTGGAGTCATCTTTAACAGCGTGTGAAACAGTATCAAATGAAAGGAATACTAACTAGCAACCTATTGAGTGGCACATACTATGGCTTTATTCTCAGACCCTGAAAAAATTGCGAAGCACCTTGTTCATCATTGTAAAGGAAGCAACAGAGAAGCACTGCTCAGTCGCTCTCATTTGATCTGTCTAACACTTCTTTCTTAGTTACATCGTCCTTACAAAGCATGATAAATACTACCATATTCAAATTGTGACAAGCTGAGTTTTATGCCCAGACTACTGATCTTGAATTTAGATTTTTCTCACACAGCCTAGTAAATGGCTCCGTTCTCCTTGTTATAGAATCGGTGAAGTTTGTAGTCTACAGAGAAGGAGTAAATATATAATTGAATGGAATTTTTCAGTAATTATGGCATTTCCGTTACAACTTGAAACAAAAATCGATCTATCTCAGGAATAAACAGAACTTGTGAGGAATTTATTATATTAAACTATTATATTACGCGATAAAGGATTTTTAAGTGGTTTCTTTCATTCTTTTTACTTCATTCATCTAAAGTGCTCTTGCTCGCTGCAGTTTCGATTTCCAAACATAATTTTTCAATTTCTTGAAAGACGATTACTTTATTGATTTTATGGTACGTTTAGAGTTTCTTTTTAGCAAAATTGCTTCCCGGCATTCAATTTAGCTCATTCAAGACTTTGTAAGTCCAAAACTATATTTCGAGGAATGGAAACGTTTCCTTTTTTTTAAATGAAAAATAAAGCTCTGTTCTCAAATTTTCTAAACCTTAGCTCGACGTTCTTTCATCGCTAAGAGCTGTTGTCAAGGAATTTTAAAATAAAAACCTCATTTAGGATATATAGAGTCTCCACTTTGGGAAGAAATCACAGTTATATTGGCATTAGTTGACTCGCTGTATTGCCCGTGTAATTAAAACGAGATTTAATTCATAGGGCATAAGAAATCTCGGTTTGAAACAGAACCGATGACATACTTGTTTGTGTATGTATATTGTTCTTGAGACCAGGAACCTTTTAAGTCAATGCGCGTTATAAAATAAAAGCTAGATTACAGGATCAAGTGGTCGATCATACACCGGATTGTGCGATCGCTCATAGGTTGAGATTTTTTGGAATATTTTTTTTAGCTAAAATGGATCGTGGATTTTTTCTTGCCGTCGTGGTTTTAGCAGTTTTAGTAAACTTCATTCAAGGTTCAGCTGAAGATAAGCCTAATGTGATGAGACGAACCTCACTTCTAGAAAAACTTGGTATGGAATTACACAGGTAAGAAAAATGCTGAAGTAGATTTGTGGCATCAATTTGTTTCAGGGAATTAGTGCGGTTAAATGGTTGTTAAACAGGCTCCAACAATTCAACAGTTTTACATTTTTCCTTCTCACGATTGGATTCCTACCAAAATTGTCCTTAGAAGCCCTCAAGGTGAGTTAGAATTCAATTGAAAATTTCATTTTTAACGCGAATATTTATGAAACTTGAAAAGTACCCGATAAACCACCAACTCAAAAAGCTCTACACCTTGGATCAATGCTTGATAACATCTGCGCAAGGTAATTTAAGGGATCGCCACAAAATGAGTCTCATGATTTATATAAATATATTGCTTTTTACTCTAAAAGGGATGTTAAAAAATCACTGATATTATGGCTTGGGATTTCCTCTATCAATTAATCTTGACAGTTTGCCCAAACATATGCTAGGTATTCTTCAGGGCTAGAACGAAGTGTGTACTATTAAGAAAAGGTTATCGATTTAAAAATTCGGACGTAGGGAAACAGAGAAGGAAATAAAAGAATATAAACCTAAAAATGGAGAAGAATAGCTAAGGATTTAGGAGAATCACTGTGGATTTAAAGACAAGAAACTGCCTGAAATCCTGAGGGTTCCCCCTAGAAAGGGAAGGAATGTTCGATGTCTTGCTTAAAGTCCCACTTCACCCGACGGGAATTCAGGACAATGCACTCTTATTCCCAGCTGCTAACGTATTCTTTACACGCAAGGGAATAAAAATGTTAATTAAAACAAGAAGTGGAATCTCACAGAGGTTCAACGCTACACCACACCCTAGACGGTTTCAATCGACGACTTAATTAACGAGAAATTTCCGGCGGACGTTCTTGTTATTTCGAATGAGAGTTCCCCAGGGGCAGTGCCAGGGGTAACCCCAGGGGTTACTACAGGGTTGTCAAAACATGGGTTATAAATAATTTGTTCTTAACACCAGGGATCCACACCACCATGTTTATAAACCGTACAAACCATACAAAAAGCGCTGTTACTGTGGACCTAAGCGACGCTATTACCGGAAGGGTAAGGGTGGTTCTGACTCCGACTCTGACTCCGGCTCCGACTCCGACTCTGACTCGGACAATGGTGGATCTCCCGGATATTATCGGAAGTACGGAAAATACAAGAAATACGGGGGATACAGGTATCGGGGGAACCGTTCTTCAGATGAGGAGTAGGTGAGTATCAAATTTAAAGTGTTATAAAAACTAAAACCAAAGTAAGAACAACCGCTTATCAGAAGAAAGGAAAATACCTCTTAGAGCCAATCAGGTCCCGGTTTTTCGATGGTTGGAAAACGCTATCTACTAGATAAATATTTAACCCCTTAACTCCCATGAGTGACCAAGACAGAATTTCTCCTTACAATATCAATACAATATCAAGCAAAAAGGGATGAGAATAAAGAAAACTATCAATTAGGGGATTATTGGTTGAACCAATATTAAATTCTCCAAACTAACACCACAAGAACTATATGGCAGATAGTAAGGAGAATTTCTAAGGAGATCATTGGAGTTAAAGGGTTATCTGGCGCGTTGGTGCGGCACGTTCTGCTATCACTTATCCTCTGGATAGCGATTAATCCGTTGGATAGCATCATCCACCCTTTATCAGAACTGTGCCAAGAACTCTAAGTAACGACAAGCTTGTTTAAAAACAAATAGTCTTCGTCAGAAAAGCTGTACGAATCAAACGCAACAAATAGGAAATAAGCCCCCGCCCCCACTCCCACCCCCACCCCAGACTTGAAAGAGTCTTCAAGGCAAAGACTGTGCAGAAAGCAGGACTTCTTATTTGATAGCTATCTTAGAGAAGGGAGTTGAATTGAATATTTCTCAAGAATTCAGACCCTAATAAAAGTAAATCCCAAAAAGTCTGAGCTTAAAATAAAAAACGTCTCAAATAATTGCTTTAAAAAGTATTTTAACACACTGCAGTCTCTCTTGCAGAGAATCAATATTGAATGCACCACTGGACGGAATCTCAGTATGGAAGGACAAGGACTGTGGAACTGACGGAATATCGATACAAAAAGAAATAGAAAGGAAAAAAAACAGGGGAAACTCTGCTACGATTATGAATTTGCTTCTTATGATCTTACAGCTTTCGTTTTTGCATTCTTTTTAAATATTGTAGCCTAGTAATAATTAAAATTAAATATCTAACTCTCAAAATGCGACTCGCGATTCTCTATTTCAGCTAAATAATAAATAACGATTCCTTATTTATAAAGCGCTATTTCTACCGCTATCCAAAAGCGCTTTACAATAACTGAAATAAACATGACGTGTTAATGACAAATATACAATTTTTTTAATGAGTTAAGAGATATTGGTGTCACATCAAGACAGCAGCAATCTCTTTTTAACAGGTTTGACAATTTTCGTCACCTGCTGGGAGCAAAAATAATATTTTCATAATAATATGATTATATTTATCTCCTCGGGGACTGGTCATTAGTGACCATCTGGCAGGGGGAGGGCGGTCAGAAGATTTTGGTTGTGTCGCCAAAAAATGTGCCTGACTTCCCCGCCCTTTAAGGCCCTGTAGTATTCTTATAATTTTCCTTCATTGGCTGTCAATTTTCTACAGTTCCCTGTTACACTTTGTAAGTAACGACTGGCCCCCCTATCCGTTCCCCCTTAAAACCACGTGATCCCCAAAAGTTTGTATCTGAAAATTCCAAACATTTCCATATGCAACCGTATATCAAATACGTAACAACCTCTTTTAAAACAACTTCTTTTAAGAAAATTCGCCACCTTTATATAAAATGACCTTATTTAATTGGAAAAAAAAAAACGTTTTTGACTACAGATTGCTTTTGTAAAAGTTCGTCCAAACCCTTTCCTTAAAGTTTACAATTGCAAGATTACATTATAGTTTACAATTTCCGTTATTTCTCTTGAATTCTTTTGGCTTTGCTGTTCGTTGATATCCATGTCATCTCCTGTAGATTTAATCGGCGCAAATTTCGCAATTTTGCAGAGACCCTCGTCAAATTTACCACCTTAAATTAAATTACATCAAGCTGAAAAAAATAAATGACATAAAGAAATAACATGCTGCAAAAACTCCTACTAAAATGTTCACATCAGCAAAACAAATTTAAGGAGCAGTTTTCATTTCTTATGACAGAAACTGAATCTTAGTTAATACACCTATTAAAAATTTACATCTACGCACGTTTTTCAAAATTTCGCCCAAATTTCAAGTGGCATTTCAAAATGAACTGTGTCAATTTTAGAAGGCGAGTCGAGAGATGAAACATATTTTATTGCTGAATTTTCACTGAGTTAGATGGTTATCGAAAAATATACTAAAAAAAATAAACTTAAATTTATCTTTAAAAGTCGCCGGAGTTACGATGAAATTTCACCCTGAATTTTTTTCAAAAAATAATATTTCTTAATTTGAATGACAAATTTGGCAAGGTGTTAGAAAGCAGATGGTTTAAAGTTTTAGTGGTAAGATGCGTAAAAAGGTTTGGTTGAGATAATTCCCTATGATTGAAAATTCACCAGGGGGAACGAGGTTCATTTAAAAACCGCGAGGTATTGATCGGTGAGAATAGAAATTCAAACTGAGAGAACATAAGGGGTTCTCTTTATGTTATCTTGTTCACACTAATTAACGTTGTATTGGAAATGAGAAAATGTTTTAATACTAAACTTGTTTTAGACGACCGGTTTTATACATAATTGCATAAAATTTGGTGTAATCATGTTACCCTTAGATATTTCGATCTTTTTCAAACCTTACTTCGGTCCTCCATCAACTCTATCACTCAAGAGTAAATGTAAAAAAGCACTGTTGAAATAGTTTGCCGTAAAATCGCTTCTGAGCTGCACTTGATATCCAAGCTACCTGGCTATTTTTGTGCGTTAGCACTGACATCTATCTCCATTATCTTCAAGCTGCAATTCCTTCTTTTTGTAAGAAATCTAAATATTTTTATATTCAAGCTTTAAAAAGCTTTCTTTTATCTTTAATTGTCGCAATAGTAGCGTTAAATAAGCCCGGAAAATGTAGCTTTTATATTTTAACCACTCGATTCATGAACTCAGACAAGAAAAATTCAGACAATAAGGAGCGTAATTAGAAAATCCAAAATTGTTGAAAGCAAAGTGATTTTTGTCTTTCACCGCAAACTAATCAAACGAAAACAGAACAAATAACGTGAAATGTCGAAGGGAAATTGTAATAAACCTTTGTACACAAATATCAGGAGAAAAGTGAACTTATGAAAGATTTAATTTTCGCAATAGAATTGATAATTACTCCTTTGACATTTCTCTATCAGACTGTAACATGAATTTTCCAATACAATCAGATAGGAACTAGCTACATTAATTTTGAAGGTCAACTAAAGAAATGGTTCACGGCAGTTATCAAGGCCAGCGAAAAAAAAAACACTGTGACAAGACGGTATAGGTACTGTTTACATAAACAGTTTGAAAAACGAGAAATTGAGTCGAGTATTCCCGAACCGGAAGATGAATTTTAACTGAATAACTGAGTCTAGTGGCAGACTTTGCTGAAGAACTCCGAGAAACCCATTGTGATTAGCCTCATTTGATGAACATGAACTGGGAGGAGACGACTTTGAAGTTCTCCTCAGAAGAAGATCTAAAGGACTTGACTCTTCTGTCGAAAATAACGACAAATTTAATTGTATAGGTCTTCAAACCGCTTCAAATGATTCCATAAAGTAAAAGTCAAATAAAAAAAAGATAAAAACTGCCCATACTTCAAACGATATAAAGTTCTTCCCGTAAAACAGAATCACTCCAGGTTCTCCATTTGAGCAAACCGGCTCTCACCAGCAAGATTAGAGAAGGTAAACGATTTGCGCAAACAGTACGTTTCCCATTTTTTAATGCAATGTTTAGTTTTAAAAAAGCATCTTTCAGCAATTTCTAAGATTTAAGAGCTTCATTAACCTTAATAAATACTTAATGGTACAATGAATAAAAAAAAACTTGACCCTCTGTATGGCTTGTTAAAATTATCCTCATGATATATTCCAGTGTAAGGACAAATATTAACCTAATTCAATATTTACAAGGTTCGCTTAAGCCTCGTAAAATTCTTAAAAGTTTTTTTTTTTTCAATTTTGATGTGAGCCAAATTAAGCTTGGCATCAAAGTTCATCCGAAAAAACTGAAAGGTGTTTGAAAGATAAATCAAAGAAACCGGCCTTTCTCGATAACCAAACGTAAAGTAAAGGTTGTCGTACAAGTGTCACATTTCTATAGCACTGCGGACAAAACAGGCTCCGGAGTTTGCTTATATACGGTGGACAATATTCTCTTTGCCTGAATTGCATTGCGCTTTGTAAAAATCTTCTTAAAACCCTCCCAGTAGTTTGAACTACGAAAGGCGTAGAGTACTGGGTTTAGACATGAACTAGAAGTGACGAGGAATTCGAACACTCGCAATAACATAGCAAGGGTTTCTTCATTGGCAACTAGTTTTTCTCGATCTTGTAAAGCGATGTACATGATGAAAACACCATAAGGCAAATAACAGATATAGAAGGCTGCCGTGACGCCAATTAGTAACTTAGCCAGTCTTTTCTTCGTCTGGTGATCACTGCTTCCAGAAGGCGCGCTCGAACAAATGGTGTTCTTGAAAAATAGTCCGCGAATTATTTGAGAATAACAGTACGCAAGAATAATAAAGGGTACACATCCCAAGAACATAACAGTGCAAACAACATGAACCCTCAGCGAGTAGGCGATCTGTAAGCTGAAAGGGCAAACACACCGTCCATATCTCTCACTGTACTTGTTCTGAGAAAAGTCTGGAAGGCTTGTTAAGATCGCTGCGACCCAAATAAAAGTGAGAACGTATTTAACACGTTCCCTGGTGAGGCGTAATTCGGACTGCATTGGTTTCATTAGCGCATGGTATCTTTCCGTAGCAAGAATCGTAAGCGTAAGAACTGAACTGGCGATCGCGACACTTATAATTGCGTTGCCTGTGAAAATCTTGCAGATGTAGTCACCAAGGATCCCTGTGGGGTGAATCGGGTAAAAGGCGAAGCTATAAGTCCTGGGACACCACAACAGAGTGATAACATCGCTAACAGCCATGTTTACGAGGAGAAAATTTGTGGTTGTATGCATGGATCTGGTCCGGTACACCACAGCCATAACTAAGCAATTTCCAATGAGTCCAATAAACATGACGAAACCATAAAGCACGGCAAAAATAATATCCACAATTTCGACGGAATACTTTTTGAAGTCAGGAATTGGGTACACAGTAGTTTCGTTGATTGACATGTTGCTGCCATAAAATGGGTTACTTCTTGGGGTTTGTTTCAGGAAATTGAAGAAAATCTCGCTCGCTCTAGAATAAAATGTTTTTCTGCCGAAAATTAAATCGATTCAGAATAGAAGTGGATTTAACATGACAGCTCCCGGAGACACATATTGACCTCATTATGGTTCCACGACAGCTGTGTTTGAACTGAAAGCCAAGTCAAACGACGCTTTTCTCTGCAAGAGAACAATGCTTGATATTAAGGGAATACTTACAGAGATTCCCGCTCCCATTTCACTGGCACGTGACGCACGCCTTCAACGCAAGCTCGAAAGATTAACTCTCCCCACTGATCAACACCCATTCCAAACAATGTTAGATAGGAGAAATTAGTGTTAGATCAGCGGTGATTGCACCTGTTATCTTAAGAGAGTTTTAATTGTAGTCCCTCTTAAAGAAAATGCTAGTGACTGAAACACAAATTAGTTGGAGTTTTTTTATTATTATTTTTGCGGAATTTCAAATCAAAACTTCGCGGCAGGGAATCTCTTTTTGGGCATTTTTTGTGCGATTTTTGAAATACTCTAAACCTGAAATTCTAGTCAAAGAAATATATAAACTTAGGATGCAATGTTCAAAATTATGTCGTTCAGTCACTTAAACCTTTAAAAAGCTTAAACAAACCACCGGTGAAGACACACAAATTTAGTTTTGTTAAACAGAACGCAGAGTGATATTGGTTTATTTGAAAATACTATTGACTGGACTCTTTTAAAATCCCTTTGACATATATTCTTAGGGAATTGTAAATGGGGAATAAAAAAAACTTTCAGTAACGAGGGACAGAAATTTAAATAAAGTTTACAGATGATCGGAAAATTTCCTTTCTGTTAAAACGCTCAGACATTTTTTGTTTACCAGAGAGCGAAATAAGATACTGCTGTATTGGAAAAAATATGGTAATTTAAAATTCGTAAAAATTCAACTTGAAACAAAAGCGAAATCTTTCAGCCGGAAATACACTTTTGAGCTAATTTCGTTTCTCAGTTCAAACTCTGAAAAAAAGGAAAAAAGTAAAAGAGGTCGCAAAGTCGTGTTTCGGTAGTTCGCGCGCAAAATCTCACCTGCTTTAAGAAAACAAAGCTGTCATAACCAAACTTATCCAAGTTTCTATTAATTTCCAAAGGAATAACCTGTTAAAAAGTGACGCAAGTTTGAAAAGACGGAACCAAAATTGCCACAGTTCCTTCGCACCTCAATTAAATTTCGAATTGTTCTTCTTTCAATATGTCACATTGAAAGCGTAGCATGTATTGTGCATGGCCCTTTGACGATCTTCTCGAAAATTCATAACGAAGGTTTAATTACAGACATAGTGCTACCTCATTATACTGCACAAACATGCGTCAAAGGTAAAGAAATGATTAGCAAAAAAAGTGGTTTTGACCTACTAAACAAAAGCATGCCGAAAATGCTTTTAAAATGGAAATCAAATACGGAAATATTTTCCGCAAAGAAAAAACAAACGTTTTTCTCCTACCGAATCTTTAATCAAAATAAGAATGACAATTTGTGTTTAATTACTTTCAAACACACAGCTAGCACAAAACGACAAAATTACTTTTTTCTCTTGTCATTACACTTATTAAAATGGTTTGCTGCGGTACTCCTTGAACAACGCCGCTCGGAAGGTTTTTTATAATCTTAATACGTCACAGGTAACCCATTCAAGCTCATTGCGTAAGTACCTCAACGATCCGTCAGCTGCGAGACGGTTGATGTTGCGCAACAGTAGAATTAGAAGGATTTGCGAGGCGAAAACAGCTGCATTCGGACACATAAAGGATCTGAAATTTAACTCCTAAAAAAAAGAAAAAAAAACAGCTAGCCCTGCTTCAGTCTAGTGTTTCTTTCTCTCAAGTATAGTTTTTAAATCAACTCATAGCGACTTCGTTGCTCTTAGTTCCTCTGCCTTTTTCTAAATTTTTTAGATGTATACAATATCTTGTGAGAAAAAGCTAAGGGAACTGAAAAGCACTCAAATCACAAGGCAAACAACGAAACTCACATTTGAAGCGAAGTCAGTTTTTTTTTCAAAGCTGAATAACCGAAATGTTTTCGTTTCTACGAGAAACCGTTTTTCCCCTTACAAATCCTTATATTTCTTTTGCTGTGTTGAAACAACTCAGTGAAGATGTCATCGTGGGTCGAGCTCAGGTCCCAGTGATAACGAACGGTACACATATCTCGTTCTCAGTAAATTCTGATATATTTTTAGCATAAGTTCCCCATGCATCTATTTTGAAATTAAGTTTCATATTTTAGCAACCTAAATCTGAGGGAGTCTGAAAACTTCGAAAATTGCGATGAACTTTCTCATTTGATGTCAAAGTAAACGGACATCTTGTATTCCTTGAATTCAAATTGATCCTTGTTTCCTTGTTGATCATCTTGTTGCTTTATTGAGAGTTGCAAGTTAGAGGCAAGACGAATGTGGGGATGAATGTTTCAAACAGCTCTCCAACCTTTCACTTTTAACACGACCCTATGACTTATTACCTGACTGTAAGATTAACTTCTTACGACTGTCATTACTTACAATTTAGTCTACAAGAGCTCAAACAGTTTGGGACAATTTTGTAAACACTTGTCAAGCAAATGCTTCACAGTATAATGGATTTTACCCTGTTTCCCATTGGCCAGGGTTTTTTGTACAACAGCAATAATCATTTTACTGAAAAATTGCGTTTTTGATCCTTGCTGTAATTATTCTACATCTCATAATAATCTTACTAAGAAAATCACTCCTAAAATTCAGTTTGAAAAAAGTTCCCAAAATTAAGCCTAAAGCGTAGCCAAATAGGTGCATCATTTCCAACAATCATCTCTCACCCTCTCGATACTTCAAAGTAGGCTGATTTTCCAACTTGAAACCTGTTTTAAGACTCTCACCTTTATCAAGTACACCTATTTATGGTTATAACCAAATAAATTTCGAGTGTTTTTTTTTTAAATCAACTCTCAAATCCAAGAAATAACCATATCAGCCAACCATCTCAGGTATATTCTACGTTCAAACTATCCTAACACTAAATTACCAGAACACATGCACATCAATGATAACAACTAGTTGGCCAGTGTGTGTAAACTAAATAGCTAACTACATGTGCATGTTAGGTGTTAATGGTGGTAGCATAAAAAAAAGCCAGTTTTGCAAATATTCCTTGATCTGTATAAAATGTAACACTTGTAAGCTATATTGGTAAATAAATGTTATTACTGTGATTTGTATTAATAAATGGGTAAAAAATAAGAAAAACATTATCCCCTCAATTACAATACACTATCCTGCAAACACATGATGAGAACAGAAAAGCTTCAATGTCTGATTCTTCTCTCCAATTTACAAGAAAATTTATGACGAACAGAAAAGAGAATTTCTAATCTAATCGTAGGGGTTATGGAGTTAGACAGCATATTGGTTCAATGTTCAAGCAGCCACCTTTTGTATCCAAGAAGCAACCATTTCAGCGACTTCCTTTGATGATTCAAGTACAAATGCATGGTCAAACTTCCTTTTACATAAATGTATTTCCCCTCTGGGAAACCTCACTTTCATGTCCTCATAGTAGGAGACTGGGACCCACTTATCAGTTGTTCCATAGTAGAAGATCAGTTTCTCCAAATTTGTTTCAATTACCTAAGTATCAAAACACACAAAATGTTCGTCATAACTGAATGATAGTTGGTGTACGGCTATTGGGTGGGTGATCATTCAAAGAAAAGTTGTATGAACAGCATTTTTATAATGTCCTGTTAACTCTTCTCACCCTAAGATCAGTATGCAGATTCTCCATACTGTTTTCCATACATTTCCAAAGGTGTTTACAAGGAGAATTTGTTTAACAATCAAGAGCCGCTTCAGTTACTGATCATTCCCTTAGTTTATTCTTGTGATCTTAATCAAGTTTTTTTTCAGGGGTGATATTACAAGAGGAAATAGATGCTCATCATTCCTTAGCATTAAAGGGTTCACTTCATTTTATATACTACCCACCTCATCATCACGGTGAACCACATCTGTCATTTCCTCCTGTGCCATTCTAGAGGAACAATCCATTGGTTGATAGGTAAGGAATTTTATCACAGTATCAACAACACTAGGCATTACTCCCTTTCTGTCACTAAACCACCATTGAACACACCATTTCTTCACAACTTGAGGTAAAAATGAGAATGCAGCAGCTGCCAATATTCCTATCCACCTCAAATACATCACCGAAGGTGTCACAAATCTGCCATTTGGAGATATTGCCATTCGTTCCACTGTTGGGAACAACAGAATAGCTTTGGAGATATCTGATAATCTTTCACAATCTTTTAGTAGATTTAGTATAACATAAGCTCCCATTGAGTGTCCAATCAGTATTATTTTAGAATGTGGTGCAATATGCTTCTCCAAGAATAAATTTTTCTGTAGGATTTGTTCCTCGAGGCTCAATGGAAATCTGTATGACTCAGCAGCATAGCTTTGTTCAGCAGAGCAGTTTTTCCCTGGACACACTGGATAGCAATCTATGGGAGAATGACCTGAAAAAAGAGAAAGCCTTGTGATAAAAGTGAGATATGACTTGTTTATTTAGTTTTTGTTTGTTTGTTTATTCACTTACTCATATTTTCTCTGTCAATGATGAAGGAGCCCTATGTTTGAATGCACACAGGACTCTTGTAGTCAATAAGTCTAAGCTTGAGACCTGGCTGGGTCATTTTTACATGTTCCTGGGCAAGACACTTTACTTTCACCTCACCCCTCCCCACCCAAGAGTGTAAATGGATACTGGAAAACTGATCAGTTGCTATAAGAACACTAGGGGGAGTATGGAGGGGTGGATGTTCACTTGCCTTTGACAGGCACTCTAACCAGGGGATGGAACATTACTCCATATCACTTTTTGCAAATAAAACCAGAATGAGTTTTGCAGATGCAAGTCACGAGACTTGTGTTCAGACCTGACACGTTCTCTCCCACTGAGGCAGGCACTCTAATTCTGAATGGGTTAAGTGAGTAGAGAGTCAGCTTGAACCATTGTACTCTTATATTATTCAACATTGACACTGTTTACTCATTGAGTTTTGAAAGAAAGCAACATTAACATTGAAAAAAACTGGAATGATCAGTATCAATATCTGTGCGTGATAACTGTGCGTGACAGTTCATCGGACTTTGCACTTGTCACGCGATAGAAATCTCGAACTCATAATCTAATATTGTCAAACACATCGTCTCATAATCACAGCCACAGTAGGTCCATAGTTCCTCCTCCAACATAAAATTTGGAAGAATACACCACCCTTCATTTCTCTGACATGAAATTCTCAATAATCAAATTTCAGAAGCACGCGATTCTTTCTTGGAAAGTCCCATTAACAACAGAAAGCGTCTTGGTACTTGACCTTGCCCCAGTTTTGGATCACGTGAAATAATTTGCATTTGCTTGTGAAAAAAAAATGGAAAACATAATTTCAGTGATGAAATATATTCAAGGCTGAGGTGTCTACCAACCGGTATGAGAAATTCCAAACACCGGCAACTGCCCTTGAAGCGCGTCAAACAATGACGTAACAAAATCATCATAGAATTCTATCAATCCAGGATTTCCAGGAATTACCACAATCACGTGCTTGTGAATTTTCCTCTGTGGTAAGATTTTCGATAAAACCGTCCGCACACCATCAAGAGTGATGACCTCCTTATAGAGTTTACCCGGTTCCGGGCAATCGTTGGCGGCCGCCATTTTGACCGACCCTGCCCTACAGAGAAGGCCTGGGTTTGTGTGTCTACCGCTGACGAAGCGCTGTCACATGTGTTGCATAATATGGCGGCTTTGATGTTTTTATCAAGCTAGGTTAGTTTTCAAGGCCTTTATAACCTTTTTTATCTTTGTTTTTATGGCATTGCCAAGTCACATAGTAACTTTACCTTCTGAGAAGGTAACTAAAATCATTTAACGCATGTTTTTGTCTTAACTGCAGGAGATGTACTTTGTGAAATCTATCATCTTCAAATAATCTGGCTCTTGTGTGTTAAATTCAGAATGCTTTCAGTTGGTAGCAAATTGATTTTCGCATCTGCTGGGACATTCAGACGGTCATTGCTGTCGAAGAATGTTTTTAATCCAAAGATTGTCCAGGTAACTGTAGTACATCGTGTGATGTGACTTCTAAAATGATATACATGGTTTAACTTTTCGTTGCATAACACAGTACCTTCATGTACGTCCAAGTAACATACTAGAAACAAGAGAAGAATATCCCAAATGAAGAAGAGAGTTGGGGAGGTTTAAATTAACGGGAGACAGCAGATATGGTCGAAAAGGGCTTTAGGGATGGGTAAATGCCTGAAATGTTAATCAAAACTTGAAGCAAATCGAGATACCGGTAGTTTTGACAATCTCGTCTAGATGTTGGCTCTAGAGCAACTCCACGCATCGAAAGGTTTTTTTTCAATTTATTTAGTTTCTGTCTCTTCCTTTATTTATTGTTTTTCATCCTTCCATGATTAGTAATAATGAAGTGTGAGTAATTTCATTTTTCCTCTCTTCTACCTAAACTGAACCCTCCAACCAATATAAAAGTTAATAGTCAGGGTGTACCAATATTTGTGCATGTTGGAACACAAACAGTGATAAGATTTCCGCACAGACCCTTATGATTAAGCCAAGCAGTAGTCCCAGAGACAATCTGTTGTTTTTGCTTTTGTTTTCTTTATCTAAGAACTGTATGCATATTGAAGTATAGGGCTGTGTAGATGTCTTGCCTAGAAAGTGACCAGTTTGACTCAAATGGAGCCAGCACACTTAAATTGGGCAGTCAAGGGGAGCAGAACTTAAGTAAAGAAAATTATTTGGAGGGAAATGCCACATACTGCTGAACAGCAATTACCGCATCATAAAAAAGCTAAATCAATACAACAAATTATACATTCCCCAAATACTATTATTATTTATGTAGGTTCCACTGAGCTGCTTGGCGTGTGGAAAGGTTCAGGTATTGCAAAATGAACATGAAGTCAAGGGTATAAAGACCAGATTCATACTGAACAATGCTAGTGCTTACAAAAGAAGATTCCAGTCGACAGCTCCGGTAAAAATTATTTTAATGTTTTGTTAAACAGTTGGCAGAAATACCTATGGCAGAAGTTTACTCTTGTTCAAATTGCTCTTAACTTCTGTTGTTTGAGCAAATATTTATTTTAATTTGAATTTAATTCATCACAAAAATTTCCAATCTATACGTCCCTCTGTGATGCTGTGTTGGCTATCGTAACTTCTCAGGCTGACAATTTAGTAATGGAGTAGAAACAATGGTCAATCTAAATTTTCTTCCCGTATCACATGTTCTCACCGCATGTTCTATTAATTAAAATGAAATATGATTTTCTTTCACTGTCGATTTAAGGGATCTGAAGGCACTGTTGGTGCAATAGAAAATAAAGAAAATGGTGGAACATGGATTGACAAAATCATCAAGGTTTTGAAAGTAGTAGCTGCACCCTTAGTGAACAAAACAGTGAGTTGCAGTTTATTGAGTAAAAATATTTAATTTTGTTTCCTAGATCAATAAATTTCAATAAGGAAGGGGGGAGGGTGTTAATGATAGTTTTCCTATTTTTAATTTGTTATTGATGCATGTAACAAAAGCTGCTTTGGAAATAGTGTATAAACATTTTCACTACTGGTTGTAACTTATCACATATTTTTTAAAAATATTTTTGAGGAAGATTACCTTTCCTACATACCTGGGTGGAGAGATCAGTCACTAGGATAATAAAATGGGTCACCTAAGAACTCGATACAATGACTCAGGCGAGGGTTTAAATCTGATATTTTCAATTCCTTGTCCAGTACATGTATAAACCAAGGGCAATGCATCTGCAACACAGCATTTAGTAGGTGCACTACATTGAATGTGCACTGTTAAAAACCCTCTTTTCATTGTGATTTTAATTTATGTCTTTGCGATTACAGGTTTTAGTGGGTGGTGCAAGGAACATGTATGAGTGTTGTGTGGAAGGAATGAATTTTGAGGAGTTCTTTGAAGGTGAGCCTTGATATAACAAAACAGTTCTACTAATTTAATCCTCTTAGGGTTTAAAGGGTTAATGACTAATTTAAAATGATTTATCCTGTTAGTTCTACTACTGAATGATAAAACCAGGAGTTTCTTATCAAAATTAGGTCTGGGTATGGATATCAATAATAGTGTATTTCAGGTTTACACAAGTTCAGTTTGTCCAAATTTATTTTAAAATATATGCCTTTTGTATATTATTTCTCTAGTTTAGATTTGTAACTTCTTCTCCATAGATTTCATTTTTAATTTGTAGCCTATGTTAGCCTAAATAGAATGTTGTGTAAGATAGCAGAGATGTAATGGTTGAAAGAAGTGCACAGTATGGTTCTCAGGGAATAAAATTGCTCACATTTTGAGTCTTGTTCTCTTTGACAGCTCTCGAATTACCTGACACATTGCAGTCATGGTTTCTTGTGCTTCACCTTCACATTTGGTGAGTTTCTGTCAGTTTGTACAGAGTCATTAAATGAGTCATTTATTGCCAGCTAAGCAGGTGTAATTTTGGGGAGCAAGTGCTCAGTATTTTCTTAACGAAAATTATAGCCACTATCTTTGATTTTAATGGCAGAAAAAGGCTGGGGGGAGAAAGAAATTTTTATTAAGGAGAGGGGTGAGGGTGGGGTGAGTAAAGATTATATTAGCTACTAGATAGATCCTTGAAATAAGTGTCGTTGCAATGGAGCACTACCTAAACATTTTTTGTGCAACTGTCTCAATGAATACTGGTAAAGTAGAGTGGATAGATTTGGAGATCAAGAAAGTGCAATGTATCACTCACTCTGTTGTGAGCAGGATTGAGGAAAAATTTATCACTGGTACTTCTTTTTTCTTAAATGACCCATACCAAAGCTGCTTTGGAACTCTACAAAGTAGTTTACCAGATTTGGAATAGCATGGAAACTAGATATTAAGTCTGGAAAGTTCTTGATTTTTTTCTATTCCATATCTTGCATTGTGGTAAAATAGATAAATGTTCCAGAATAAGGTTTGCATTTTTTACTGCATGAAAATGAGGTAAAACTTTTTTTCCTGCAACTTAAAGCAGGTAGGATACACAAGATAGTCTGTTTGGCTTTCCTTTGTCTGCTTCTGAAAAGATTTGGTGTTTTCTTTTATTTTAAGGATGTGTTTGGTGCGGCTCAAAGCTGAGGGTAAAGATGGGAGATACATGTACAAGACACTTGTTAGGATGATGTGGCTTGATGTGGAGGAAAGAATTGATAACTTAGGGGTGAGTCTACATTACTGTGCAGATGATTATTTTTATATACTAGGAATCAGTAGGAGTTAGTTTAAGGTATGACTATTAATCTTCACAAATAAGTTGTTGAAAATGATTTATGGATTGTTGTACTACTGTATTCTTCAAGTATGATATTTCACATGGCCTAGTGCCCTGAAAAATGGTTTGGCCCCTCCACACTCACTTTGGTAAAAAGTACACTTATGTGCCATGTATGAAGGACAATTTATGTTATTTAGTTAAGATACTGAACTCTGGTTAGAAAAGATTGGTAATGAGATTGCTGTTATTACCTTTCACAGACCATTGACTCAGTTCAGAAGCGAGATACCTTGCTAGTGTTACAGCAGCAGTTCAATGGTCTATCAATTGGATATGATGAGGTATGATAACAAGTGTTGCACCCTTACTGACTGACTTTGATGTGCTGCAGCTTTTGAGGTCCTCTCCAAGATGGGTAAAAGGGAAATTTAAAAAATAAATTTTCAGATTCAAGGGGGAGGAGGGTCCTGCTTCAGGATCTTACTGGAATTATTTAGCATGGCAGATTGTTTTGCAGCTGGTTTTTCAATTTCATTCGAGTAGTGTTGATGGAACCTGAGTAAGAGGGGTGGGGTCCCAAAATAAAAGTGGTGTGTCACAGATGATATAAGTAAGGTATTCTAGTTTATATTTCCAGCTCTGATAATTTTTGTGCACAATTAATTTCTTTTCAGGGTTTGCTGTGTGATGACAGAGTCCTGGCCACAGTTTTATGGAGGTCAGCTTCACTTTCTCAGCTTCATATAAGTTCCCTTTGGTTTCAAAGGAAATAGTAACTAATGGAAGGTGTTGCTCTACCTAGCTTAAGCTTTGAGGTTGATCAAGGATTCATTATCCCCTTGTCATGCTAATCTCTCTCTCAAAAAAAGGCAACCCCAAACTGAATTGTTTTTTACGAGAAAAATCAGTTCCTCAAACAAGAGGGAATATGGCTTATGAATCAAGAAGTGAAATTTTTAAGTAATATAGTTGGTAAACTATATTACTTAAATATCCTTGCTGCTGTGTTAAATATGGTAAAGCTATCTGAGATGAGCTAGCGAAAGGCATGGTACAAAAAGTGAGAGCCTGCAAGGACACCATTCTCTTATCCCTGACCCCTAAGAGTGGACTAGCATTGAATTTCTCCTTACAATATCACCCCTGAATCTCACATCAAGGTCACAAGAATAAAAGAAATGATCACCAAATCAAGAAGTTTTTGATTATTAAACAAATTCTCCCTGTCAGCATCTTAAGAAATGTATAGAGAACAATATGGAGAAGATGCATGTTGATGTTAGAGTGTTAAGGGTTAAATCTGTACATTATTTCCCGCAGGTTTGTTGAAAAGTCAACAACAAATTTCTTAGTCAATAAATTCCTCACTTGAATAACTAACGGTTTACCAATGAAAAATAACTATCTGTCCTTGTGTTTGATCATCAGAAACTTGTTTCAGAACAAGAATCGCACAGATGCTGAGCAGCTCGGCCGGCTGGTGGAGTATGTCAGAAAAAACATTCAACATTTGGACAGCCTTCCCACCGAACATGTCCTACAAGACGGAAGAATCACATGGCTTCCTTTGAATGAGCAGTTTGAGGAAGGAGACAAGGAGGATAATGATTGATTTGGACTGACTTTTTGAAGTTCAGACTTGCAGGCAGTGGACTGAATTTCAACCAACACGACTTTCAATTGATTTTTTTTTGTCAAGCTCATCCAATTTGACTTGTCTCTCAGGTCGAATTTAAAAAGCCTTGTTTACAGCAGTAAGTTTTACTTGAGAATTGTTGGTGTGGTTTTCTCTTTCGCTCTCACGCTTAAAAAATTGTCGAGACCAAGGAACAGCGATGCTATTTTGTTAGGTTCAAAACTATGCTTCAGGCGAATGAAATTTGTTACGTGATATTTAAATACAGTAGGATATCCGCGAAAACCTAATGAGCTGTTAAAAAGGTAAAAAAAAGGATCACTAAACTAGGAAAAAGATTGATATTAACTTTCAACTATTTTGATTTCTGTTGTTTATGGTGAAGAGCAAAAATTTTGCAAGGGAATGTACTGGAAACAACTCACCTTTCGTCTGTAATTTTTACTTTCATCACGGGGAATAAATTATAGTTCGCTTATATCATTTCCTTCTTCTTGTTTTTCTGCTGTAACTGTAAAGTTAAAAATTCAGTGGCCCAATGTATTTAATTTAGAAAAGATTTTGTACATAATAATAATCGTTTTCACATCCAACAAATATTGTGTTTACTTATTCAAATTTCTTTTCGGAAAATGCTTTGTTCTCAAACTCCTCTCTTGAATATAATATGCAATCGCGATTTTTTACTTCGCTCTGCGATGATTTCAGAACACGCGTACTATCCTCTCAGCCATCAGGCTTGGTCTCTCGTTTCCAGTACTTGAGAGACTGATGTGCTTGTTTGATCCTTCTGATATTTACTTTATTAGTTCTAATTTGCCGATATGATTTCTTGGGTTCGGTGTTATCACCCTCGATCGTAATCCTTTTGACAAGCACCCCGTTTTCCATTACAACCAACCCTCGCGCTAGTTCATGTGTCATGGAAGAAGATAAAGTTGTGCGATTTCTATTAGCAGAACATACGGGTTTCACCCCTTTGGCTATCCTTTCTTTTCTTGTTGCATGTACATCTGCCTTAGAAGTGCCAAATTGTCTGGCAATTTCTCAGGCATGTACGTATACTCTGTGAAAGGGGTTTGAAGCGCAAGCAACTGGTAACGAGCGCGTGGCGCGAAGGATCATAGTAAGGAGTTGATTTGACCCCTTTCTCCTTTGCGCGTCACTAGTTTACTTGGGCAGGAGGCGTTGTGTTGTTTGATGACGTCGTCGCACGTGAACATAGCGTGAAACTATGCTGTAGGTCGAGCATGCGCTAGTTAGTTATCGGAAGAGAAGCACTCTGGGTAAAAGAGGGAAAATACACCTTATTTAATAACACGTTAAAAATCCCCCCATCTCTGCAAGCAGAGCCAAATGTATAAACGATAACGAGAAGATAAAAATGCTGAAAAATGTTAAATGAACAGTTTATTGACACAATTAGAAGGATAATAATTTTTCTTATTTTTTTTGAAATATAGATCGTGCGAAATAAAAAGAACAAACAAACAAACTAACCAAAAACCTGGGTGTGACCCAATTTTCCAATTCGTTCGACTCCAATAAAAATCAACTTGCGGTCGTTAAGTCAAGAGATAGAGTTCCCCTCTTCACAGCTATCAGAAAATACATGAGAGAGAAGATCACCAAATTTTATCTTTGCCAATTATTTAAGAATTACTTCCTTAACAATATGCTAAGAAATAAATAGCATGCATTACCCACAAGGGAAGAAACCCAATCGAAGTTATCAAGAAACGAATTGTTGAGAAATAGTGTCAATCGCATGCATCATTCGCAGCCGTTGTTTGGTTTCGCCATGCAAACCCCTTCTCAGAAAGAACGAATATTGAAAATCTAAGTTAAGTTTTCCGCCAGCACACACTGACCACTCAAATTATATCCATATAATACCAAGTAACCAACTTATAGTCACTGCAAACCGTTTCAAAACCGTCTCGACTCCTTCCGTGTCAATCAGTCATAAAATTGTAACTCAGTATCTCTTGGAATAAGGTATTTTTACTGTGTTTCAGAAGTAAATTCGCCAGGCCTGGCTTCCCCGTGAGTGCTGTTCCATGATTTAAATTGGCTTTCCCTTCACAACAACATTGTAAGAGGTTTCTCTAAATAGCTTTTAAAAGCTGACAGCCATTGCGCTCCAACAGCGCCATCAACAACTCGGTGATCGCAGCTCAAAGTGACAGACATCATTGTTCCGGTTGTGTATCTGTTTTTAAAAGTGAAAGTAAAAAGAAAAAGAATTAAAGTGACTTAGCGTAGAATTCAAGGGCCAGGACTTGAGCTTTCGCTATTTGTCTTTCAGCGGTTAACCCTTTAATCCCTAAGAGTTACTACCATCTAATTTCTCCTGACGAAAAACGGAAATGATCACCAGTTAAAGAAACTCTTGATTGTTAAACAAATTCTCCTTATGGCACCTTTGGAAATGGATAGAGAACAGTATGGAGAATATGCATAACGTAAAGGGTTAAGCTGTAAAATCAAATGGTAATGTCCGATTTTCTTCATCATGAACAAAATGTTGTGATCGTTTGCGAGATGCGTTACACGATGACAACAAAATTAAATCTCTGGTGAATATTTGTTGTTCGCTTTCACGGTATAATTCTATCATATAAAATGCTCGCTATTTGCCTGAATACTTCAGTAAACTGATCAAAGTTTTAGATCTTCCAACCAGACGGCGAATAATTCTCGGAAGGAAGACTGAGATAAGTAAGGAAAAGAAGACGGGGGGGCAGAATTTCGAGCAAAATTTGCTACTGTGAGCAACCGCTTTCTCAGAATTAGGTAATGAATTACGTATCGACAACATAACAACAACAAAAACAGCAACGACTGCCACAACATAATTTACCCCTTTTCGCTATTTTCGTCCACAACGACCTGTTTTTCTGCCTTTCCAACAGCTAAAATGCAGGCCTGAGAAAATACAGAAAGTAAATGTTAAGAATCAGTGTGTGGGATAAAGTTAATATCACCTTCAACCCCTTCACTAAAAGCTTAGGATATTCTGCTCCTGCGTAGATGTGTCAGCCTCGTCCATGAAAAATGGCCGATCACGTCTTCAAGCTGTAAGAGCCTAATTTCCCAAAAATAATCAAGAAAAACAAATTTGAAAATCGAAGAATATGACAACTACCGAACTTTTTTTATCGTAAATTATTGCACATTGTCAGATTGGACTACCTGCTGCTGACAAATCACGATGTTTCGTTCAACCTCGTCCAATAGAGCAATTGGGTCCAAAGTAATCCGCGATAATCTGGAATTGCATGGATTTTTCTTTACTTCGCTTCGCGATTGTTCCAGAAAATTCGTGCCACTCTCTAAACCAATCAGATGCAAAACCCAAACCAGTCATGACTTGGTCAACCGCGTTTTCCCGCGCTTTAGACAGTTTAATTGTTTATATTTCGAATTCTCATTGGCTCTTAAAGGTATTTTCCTTTTCTTTTGATTGGCCGTTTTAATTACTTTGGATTTGGTTTCACGACACTCATTCGAAAGGCGCTTCGTGCTTGCAGACAATTCGAATTTAGATAGCAGCACCCATACGAAATAAAATCACTTACCTGAGGGGGGTTGATAATGGCGGAAAAGTTCTTAACACCGTACATCCCAAGATTAGATACTGTAATTGTGCCTCCCTGGAACTCGTGAGGTTGAAGTTTGTTATCTCTGGCTTTGTGGGCTAAAGTAGTTACATCAGCGTTTATCTCTTGTAAGCCCTGAAGAAAA